TTGATTTCAGAGAGGAAGGGAGAGGGGGAGAGAGAGAAACATCGATAATGAGAGAGAATCACTGATTGGCTGCCTCCTGCACACCCTCTACTGGGGATCGAGCCTGCCACCCGGGCATGTGCCCTTGACCTGGAATCGAGCCATGACCTCCCGGTTCATTGGTCAATGCTCAACCACTGAGCCACACCAGCCCGGCTGTGTGTGTTTTTTATAACAACTTTATTGAACTCTAATTCACATACCATACAATTCGCCCACTTAAAGTGTACAACTCAGTGATTTTTAGTATATTCGGTTGTACAGCCATCACCACAACCGATCTTAGCACGTTTTCCCCAAAAAGAAACCACGCACCCTTCAGTCATCAGTCATCACCTCGAATCCCTCCCGTGCCCCCCCCCCTCCCCGCCAGCCCCTGGCAACCGCTAACCGCCTGTTCCTGTAGATTCGCCTGTTCTCACTCTCCCTATAAGTGGATCACACGGAAGGTGGCCTTTTGTGAGAGGCACCATCTCCTTTCACGGAGCACGCTGTGTCCCAGGTGCTCCCCGTTGCACCGCGATCCGCGTTTCATTCCTTTTCACAGCTGGACAATGTTCCGCTGTATGAGATGCTGCACTTCCCATATCCACTCAGCAGTTGGTGGCACTGCGCTGTCTCCACGTGTTGGCTGTTGGGAATAACGCTGCTACGCACGTTCGTGTACAGGTTTTGTGTGGACGGATGTTTTCCTTCCTCTCGGGCGTGTACCTAGGAGCGGAATTGCTGGGCCACATGGCGACTCTGTGTGTAACGTTTGAGGAACCGCCAGGCTGTTTTCCAAAGAGACTCCACCACTGCACATCCCACCAGCGGCGTAGGAGGTCCGATTTCTCACATTCTTGCAGACCTTGGTCGTTACCTGACTTTTGATCCCAGCCGTCCTGGTGGGTGTGACGGGGTATCTTGTGGGGTTTTGATTTGCGTCTCCCTGGGCATCCTCTCACGTGCTTACTGCTCATTCGGATGCTGTCTTTGGAGAAATGTCTCTTCCGATCCTTTGCTCATTTTTAAGTTGCGTTATTTGACTTTTTATGGGGGAGTTCTAGGAGTTCTCCGCTTTCTGTATGCAAGTACCCTGTCCAACATGTGATCTGTAAATACCTTTACCTTCCTGTGGGTTATCTTTTCACGTTCTCGGCGGTGTTCATAAAAGTGCCTGGTTTCGGGGTGTCTGAGTTACCCTTTCTCTTTAGTTGCTTGGGCTTGGGGTGTCACGCCTAAACCATTGTCTGGCCCTTCTGAGGGGAAAGTGGAGACTTCACCTCTTTTTCTGGAAGGAGGCCTTCCTTCATGTATCTAGTCATTCATTCCGAAGGATTTCTGAAACCAAGCTTCTGGTTCAGTCCTGGGATGCAGCCGTGACAAGGCCAACCCGGTGCCCGCCTCCCTAGAGTTTAGACTCGGCTGGAAGAGACCGGCACGAAGCAGAAAACCAAAACAGAGGAGCGACTGAATCACAGACGCGCAGGACGGGGCCGGGGCCCAGGAGCCTACGACAAGGAGACCCGCCCTGGTCTGAGGTCTGGAAAGACCTCTCAGGGCAGAACATTCAGGCTCAGACTAAAGGCTGGGTAAGCATTCACCAGGCAAAAGGGGTGCAGAGCGCCAGGCAGAGGGGACGGCATGTGCAAAGGCCCTGAGGCAGGTAGGAGTGCGTGCTGTCTAGCAGGGCAGATCCCCTTGGCCCACTGGCCCCTGCGCTGGGGGATGCAGTGGCCCCGTGGAAGCGCGGGCTGCATGCCATGTCCTTTGGACGGCAGAGGCTCCAGACCCCAAAGAGACCCAGATGTATTGCCGCTGCCTCCAGGGCCCTGCGAGGTTCCAGGGGCCACGTGGGAGCCTCTCCAGCCTCCTCCAGATTCGGGGTCCGCTCAAGCCTGCAGGGACCTTCCAGCAGCCACACTGGCCTCAGGGCTGGGAGGGGTGGGGGCGGCAGTTCCAGGCCGGGGTGGCTCACGGCGGCCTGTGAGGCCACGGAGCATGGATGGGGCCCCTGGAACCCCGCTGACTCCTCGGGCCCCCCTGCATCGTCCCTCCTCACCTTCCTTCCCGAGGCGTTTGCTCCTTCTGCAGACTGGTAGCTATAAAAGCGGTCAGCACCTTGGGTTTTGTTCTAAATTAATGAGGTGCCACATCCTTGGAAGGAGGGGGGACAGTGGCTGCAGTGGCTGACTCTCCCACACCCCTTCCTCCTGCCCCCTGGTCACGATCTCACGGGATGGCTCTGGCTGCCTTTATGGCTCTGTCAGGAGGACCAGGACCCCGGAGACAGCCCAGGACACAGGGCAGGTCTGCAGTCTCTCCACACCCTGCCAGTGCCTCCTTGTTTGTTCATTCATTTGTTCGTTCATTCACTCAACGCTCGAAAAATATTTGTGAAGAGTTGACCTTGGGCCGGGCTCTGTGATGGGTCCCAGAGAGAAAAAGAACAGTAAGTTCCAGGTCCTGCCTGACAAAGGACCCCACACTTACCCTACAACGACAGCGTGTGTGTGTGTGTGTGTGTGTGTGTGTGTGTGTGTGAATCCGAGAAGGCTTCCCGGAGGAAGCGATGTATCAGCTGAGACCTGAAGGTAAGCTGGGGAGAGAGAGAAGTTGCAAGCCCCAGAGAGGTTTGAGCACTGATTTCAGAGAGGGCGTGGACCCTGACAGCAGCCCTGAGATGGCCCAAAGCCCGCACCCAGGGTGACCTGGGTGGCGCCCTCCAGTGGGTAGAGCCAGAAAAGCCCTCAAGAGAAGGGCTCTCATCACCAAGGATTTTCCCAGGGCTGGGCTGGGGCCAGGGTACCTCCTCCCTCCTTACCCCTGGCAGGTGGCTACCAGGGGGGTGGCGAGGAAGGAGAGGGCCTAGGGTTTGCCGGCAAAGGCTCTCGGTCACTGTGTGAGGCTGGGTAGGTCCTGGCCCCTCTCTGAGCCTCCCTCCGGCCTCTGTAAGGCGGAGACGGCGGCGCTGCCTGCTCCTCTGAGGCTGTGGGGCCTCCTGGGAGGTGAGGCTGGGAAGTCTGCCTGTACGAGCTCAGCAGAGGCACGGAGCCAGCCCTCCTCTGCGCCTGGTCCCTGGTCCCCGAGTGTCCGGGCCTGAGGTCAGCTTGGCCAGAGATGAAACCAGCTCTTGAGCCCCTTGCGTGGGATTCTGGCGGGGTGGCCGGCCGCCTGGGAAGCCCGGAGCCCAGGCTCCCTGCTCTAGAGGCCTCTAGGGACCCCGTTTCTTCTCCTCCCTCCTCCTTCCTTTCTTTCAAAATGCTGACCCGACTCCGTTGCAGGCCTGCCCTTGGTCCTGCCCTCATAGGTCTCACAGGGTGGCAGCCCTCACGCCTCCCCCTCCTGGGAGCCCCCCTGGCCTGCATGCCTGGGAACCCCGGCGCATACCCAGCTCCAGAAACGCTCTGTGGCCGTCACAGCCCTCCTCTGGGTTGTTCCCTACACCCCAAGACCCCGCAGAGGCGCCTGGAAGTTCATGCACGAGGACCAGGTGGGGTGGGCTTGGGGCCGGCTGCCCGCGCCACCGTCGGTAAGACCTGGGAGCTGTGCTGCTCTGCGGATTCACATCCCAGCTCGGCCTTTACTGGCCATGAGGCTTCGCCTCCATGCCTCAGTTTCCGCATCCGTGAAATGGGGCTGAGAGTCCCCCATGAGGGTCAAATGTTACTGTCTTCTTCTAATGAGATTCCTGAGGCTGGGCGGGGTAAAGGGTCCTCCCACCGCCTCTCTGCCTAACCCAGGCCCTCCGGCACCCCTAGCCACTGTGAGGGGAGTGGGGGCCCCCCTCACGTCTCCCCAAGTAGCGAGTAGCACTTGGGTCCTCAGAGATGCTCCGGCAGCGGTTGAGGATGCGGTTTGAGAATTCCTGTCTGAGCCCTGCTCCCCGGGGCCCTTCAGAGGAACCCAAACCTCTCCCAGGAGCCCTGGGGAGTCGGGGGAGGGGACGAAGCCCTTGCTGGCTCCCTGGCCCCCCTCCGCTTCCTTCCTCAGACCTTCCTGCCTGCACGTTCCGCAGCTCCGAAGCCCCTGCACCCCCCCTCCCCCCGCCGGTGTTAATGTGTTAAATCCACATCAAGGTCCGGGGGATCCACTGTTTATTTTTGTGAGCGTGTTGGCAGCGATCGCACTGGGGGGAGGGGAGGCGGCCGATCTGGTCAGAATAAATGCTAATTAATAAAAGTTATTTATTTGGGTTGGAGCTCGCCCTGGCCCCGGGGTCAGGCGCAAACTGACTATTTGAAGCAAAAACAAATAGAGAGGGTCCCTCGGCAGCTTGAGAAAGGCCGCGCCGAGAGGCGGGTTTATTTGTCTTGGGAAGAATTTGCCGTTAATTCCCTCCAGACTATTTAGGCCCTTAAATTACACGGAATAAGAAAAACCATGGGTGCGGGGGAGAGGAGCCAGGAACACTTGATCATCTGGCCGAGAGCAGAGATTTTAAATGTCTCTGGCCCGCAGTCAGCCACATAGCTGGTACGTGTGAAATAATGTGGTGGCGGAGCGCTGCGCCCCAGGCACTTTTTTCCATTGTAACATAATCGGGCCGGAGTCATCGGGGCTTTAAGGAGAGAGCGCGGCAGCCCCCCCAGCCCAGGGCGTTTCTCTCCGCCCCGACCCCGCCGCTCACGCCAGCATCTGAACCACCCGCCCGGGGAAAGGGACGCGGTTTCGGGCTTCGTTTTTAATCCCAGAGAAAAGCAGAACTTTTATTGAGCGCAAGGGAACTTTGGGCACAGCCCGGCTTGGCCCGAGCAGGCCGGGTGCTCGCTAGCCGGAGGCTCAGAGAGTATTTGTTTATTTCCCAAATGCTCTGAGCCCACCACCGTGCATTTCTCAGGAGCTGTCCGCTGGGAAGCAGAGGCCGCCCGGGAGCCCTGGCTGAGTCCAGAGCTCTGGGTTCGAGTCCCGGGGCGCCTCTGAGACGCTGCTGGACCGTCCTCAGCCTGGCCTGCCTCTCCTCCACCTGCCGCGGGGACTCACACCCCCTTTCCACGGTGGGCTCGGGCGACGCAGGGGGGCCTTGCCTCCACGCCCCACGCGGCTGGCACAGAGCGTGTGGTGCGAAGGGCAGCGAGCATGTCCTGGGCACTTGCTATGCTCTGGACACTGAGTTAAACTCAGCTCCTGACGGGGACCTGGTGTGACCTCGGGCTCCCAGCTCCTGGCGGTGAGGTCTTCCTTTAGGACAAAGGGCCCCGCCCTGGCCGGCAGCTCAGCTGGTTAGAGCATCGTCCGGATACACCCACGTGGTCGGTTCAAGCCCCGGTCAGAAACCAGCCAGTGAAGGCATAAGCAAGTAGAACAACAAAACCCATGTTCCTCTCTCTCTTTCTCTCCCCACCCCTTCCACTCTCTCCAAAATCAATCAATCACAATTTTAAAAAGCAAAATAATGTTATTTTTAAAAAAGTGCCCGGTGCGCCCTTCCGGTGGGCTAGGATGCGGACTCGGGTGCTTGCGCACCAGCCGGATGCGTGAACCTGGAGACCCCTCCCCGGCCCACAGGCCACCTTCCTTAGGAGCGAGGCGGGTGAGGGGAGACCCCATGGACGTGGGCTGAGCCTTCCAGCAGACAAGAATTCCTACCCCAGCCCCATGGCCTTGGGCACGCCCTCAGCCTCAGTTTCCCCGCATGTGAAATGGGTGGTTGGGGGATTCAGTGGGTGGATCCTGCCCAAACCAATTGTTTGGGGCGCATCCCATCCGAGCCGCCTGGGCAGGAACCCGGGGGGTGGGGGGGAAGAGGGGGTGGTCCACCGCCGTGGAGGCCAGCTGGCCCTGTGGGCACGTCTGGGGCGGGGAGGGGGGGCAGTACATGCTTTGGGGTGAGAGTTTCCGCTCCACGTCACCGCACAGTTTGGTGAAAGAGGGGGTTTGCTTCTTCCGGCGCCCACTTGGCGGGGCGGGCGCTACAAAATGGTTTTCATTTAACACCCTCGTCTTGAATTGCTCTGAAACTTCCCGAAAAAAAGTCTCCTTTTTTGGCTGAAATGCCTCCTGCGTTGGGCGTGTGCCCAAGCCTGAAGGGGGGCGGACGTGGACTCTGCAACGGCTGGTGTTCCAGAAGCTTCCGTCCCGCGTGGCCTATTGATCATCACCCAGTTTTCAGCACATGGGCCCTTGTTGTTTCGGTTTAAGGTTTCTTCCTGCTGGAGGGGCTGGGGCGGGGGGAGGGACGTTCCCGTCCGTCCGTCCATCCATCCATCCATCCGCGCCTTTTCTTGGAGGAAAGGGGTGAGGAGTGAAGCCTGAGCCAGTCCGGGAGGGGAGGCGGCTCGCCGGGGCCCTCCGTGCGGCCCCCACGCCGGCCCCTCCCACCCGTGTCCCACGTGTCCCACGTGTCCCGCGTGTCCGCAAGCAGGCGCTTCCCACGAGAAAAGCTCCAAACCAAAGTCCTGCCCCTGCGTCCTCGCCGAGGCTTCGCTCAGCCCTGCGGACAGTGACCGGCCGACGCTGCCGTGTGGGGCCCGTGTCCCGGGTGCGGACGGGGATGTAGCGGCGTCCCAGCCGGTGTCCGGTCCACCCCGGGCCTGACCGTCAAATGTCTCCGGACGCTGCCAGGTGCCCCCGGAGGCCAAACCGCCCTCGGCTGAGAACCACCCGCCCAGACCCAGCTGTGGGCCGGTTTCGGCCTGACACCCCCAGAGGCCCCCCCACAGGCACTGCAGTCTCACGGAACAAGTCAGCCTCAGCCTGAACCAGCCGGCAAACCCGGCGAACCTCGGAGCTTGTTTGAAAACGGGGATCGAGTGGTGTCCATTGCAGGGCCTGGAATGTTCTAGAGCAGTGGTTCTCAACCTTCCTAATGCCGCGACCCTTTAACACAGTTCCTCATGTTGTGGTGACCCCCAATTTCATGGTTACAAATGGAACATAATTAAAGCATAGTGATTAATCACAAAAACAATATGTAATTATATATGTGTTTTCCGATGGTCTTAGGCGACTCCTGTGAAAGGGTCGTTCGACCCCCCAAAGGGGTCGCGACCCACAGGTTGAGAACCGCTGGGATAGAGCATCTCAGTTTCTATCTCACTCCTTCTCCCTTCCTCTCTGAAGTAAGTAAGTAAATATATATATATTATTTCAGAGAGGAAGGGAGAGGAGAGAGACAGATAGAAACATCAATGATGAGAGAGAATCATTGATCGGCTGCCTCCTGCATGTCCCCTACTGGGGATCAAGCCTACAACCCGGGCATGTGCCCTTGACCGGAATTGAACCAGGGAACCCTTCAGTCCGCAGGCTGATGCTCTATCCACTGAGCCAAACCAGCTAGGGAGTGTAAAAATATATTTAAAAAACAAAAACAAAAAAAGCCTGGCTGGCGTGGCTCAGTGGTTGAGCATGGACCTATGGACCTATGAACCAGGAGGTCAGGGTTCGATTCCCGACCAGGGCACATGCCGGGGTTGTGTGCTTGATCCCCAGTGTAGGGCATGCAGGAGGCAGCCGATCAATGATTCTCTCTCATCATGGATGCTGCAATCTCTCTCTCCCTCTCCTTTCCTCTCTGACATCAATAACAATATATATATATATTTTTTTAAAAAACAAAAAAAACCAAAAAACTCAATGCAAACTGCTGAGCAGGTGCCGAGTGACTGTCCAAGCTTCACGGTGCAGGGGCGGCCTGGCCGGTCTGGGGGGGCTTCGGGCACCCACCGCGCCGTCCTCTGCCCGGCTGACCTGCTGACCTGCTGGCCCTGTCCTCCCCGAAGGTGAGTGTCCCAGCCCCGGGCGCGGCGGCGCCCCCAAGCGGAAGAAGAAGCAGCGCCGGAACCGCACCACGTTCAACAGCAGCCAGCTGCAGGCGCTGGAGCGCGTGTTCGAGCGCACGCACTACCCCGACGCCTTCGTGCGCGAGGAGCTGGCCCGGCGCGTCAACCTCAGCGAGGCGCGCGTCCAGGTGAGCGCGGCCATCCGGGGCCACCCCTGGGACCACGCAGCCCCCATTCACTCGGGTAGGGAGCTGCCGAGGTGAGATGTTTAAGAGCAGAAACATCTGAGGCCAGGAGGGCCGAGGTTCAAATCCGAGCCCTGCCACTCACTAGCTGTGTGACCTAGAGCAAGTCGCTCAACCTCCCTGTGCCTTAGGTGCCTCCCTGTAAAAGGAGGATCGTGTGGGTGTATTTTGTAGGGTTCTCCTGAGAATTAAAGGGGTTACTACATTTTAAAATTTTTTAAAAAAGGGAGTTACTACATTTGTAAAGTGCTTCGAGCAGTGCCTGCCACAAAGGGGTTTGATAAAGTCGTTTTAACGTGTTAAGTGTTCACTGTGTGCCAGCTCGGAGCTGAGCGCTCAGCCTGCACCTCTCGTGATAACTTCACAACAGCCAAGTGCTCGTTTATTCATTCTTCATTCATTCACATGCCCATTCTCCAACACACACTGAGCCAGCAGCAGGAATCACCCCGCACCCCCACTTCACAGGTGAGAAAACTGAGGCTCGGAGAGGGGAAGCTGCCAGTCCAGGGTTGGTAGCAGAGCAGGCCCACGCTGGGTCCAAAAGGACCTGGTCCCCTTCACAGCTGCCGCACCCTGCTCCCCTCTCTCTCCTACCCCCAGGTCTGGTTTCAGAACCGCCGGGCCAAGTTCCGCCGGAATGAGCGGGCCATGCTCGCCAACCGCTCCGCCTCGCTGCTCAAGTCCTACAGCCAGGAGGCCGCCATCGAGCAGCCCGTGGCTCCCCGGCCCACCGCCCTGAACCCAGACTATCTCTCCTGGACAGCCTCCTCCCCCTACAGGTGAGGGCAGCCCCCTTCCGGCCAGGAGGGGCGTGGCCGGGGGTCCCCAGGGTGTGGTAGGGCCCAGGCTCCTTCCAGCATCCCCTGGGGACACGCCAAGTGGTCGGTGGGCAAGTGTGTGACATGAGCTCTCGAGTGTGCACGCGTGGGTGTTGTAGGAGTATGCGTGTGTTGCATGAGTGTGAGCATGTATGCACATGAGTGTGTGTGTTTCCACATCAGTGTGTGTGCATGGCTGTGAGTGCACACATGTGCCTGGGAGTGCACAGGAGTGTGCATGTGCATGTGCACACATGTGCACACGGATGTGTGGAAGGGAGAGACAACGAGGCCTGTCTGGAGGGGAAGGAAGAACCCGTGTCACTCTCAGGCAGCTGGAACCCGGCGGGATTTCGAGGCGCGAGAGCCCCACACCCTGTGCCCACCCTCCCGGCCAGAAACGGAGGCAGGAGGGCCAGGGCTGGGCCAGGGCTGACAGCCACACCACATACATCCTGTGTCTCCTGTCGCCCCCAGCACAGTGCCGCCCTACAGCCCCGGGCTCGAGCCCCGCCGGGGTCACATGGCCAACAGCATCGCCAGCCTCCGCCTCAAGGCCAAGGAGTTCAGCCTGCACCACAGCCAGGTGCCCACCGTGAACTGAGCCCTGCCCCCCGGACCGCTGCCTCCTGGTCGACAGCCGAGGAGCGGGCAGATGCCGGAGAGTGACCTCCTCCTGTCCCGTCCCCGGCCGGCCGGGCGGGCTCTGCTGGCCCTTCCCTCCAGCCCGGACCCCGGGCCAAACGCCGGAGCCCTGTGCTGCCCCTCGTCCACGGCCACCGGAGACTTCGGCCCTGACCCTGGCAGGGGTTGGGCCGGAAGGTGAACAGGAGCTCACCAAGGACCTCACTTACTTTGTGTATTAAAACCAAATAGCTTTTGTCTTTAAGAAATAAAAATTGTTTAAGCCCCAAAAGGTTGTGGGAGGGCAGATACGGGCAGCAAACAAAAGGGGGCCGGCCCGCGGGGCCCTGCCCCGTCTGCCGCTCCTGGACGAAGTCTCCTTCGCCCGCAGAGCCCAGGGGTGGGGAGTGGGACAGCAGGGCGAGACCCGCCCCGCACCCACGGACACCCCGGGGTTTGTGCGGCTGTGAGCAGGACCCCTCCCCTCTCTGGTCGGGGAGCGGCCCCTCTGCCCTGCGGCTGGGGGCAGGGTGGATGGGACAGATGCTGACATGGACTCCTTGCTCTCGGGCAGACTAAAAGCGTGGGGCCCCGAGCATTGGACTGGGGAGGGGCCTGGACAAATGGTGGGGTGCAGCGCGGAGGTCCCAGGGCCCACAGGACAGAGGAGGGGTCCTGACAGCCAAGGCCACCAGAAGGCCTTCTCCCCAGGCCCCGAACCCACCCTTTTGCAGATGGTAACTGGGGTGACGGAGGACACACGTGCCACCAGCAATGACACCATGAAGAGGAGCCGCAGAAAGCTGCGGGGTGAGGGGGTGTCTGAAGCGGCCCCCCCGGGCCCCCCACCTCCCCTTCGGAGGGGCGCACCCGGCAGGGAAGGTCAAGGTCGGTTCTGTAACCTCGCCGGCCCCAGGAAGGACAGCACGGCCTGACCCCACAGGGTGCAGAGGGGTCAGCCCCGCCGGGTGGGTGGCCCTCACAGTGACATCGTGGTCACACCCCGATGGGTCGATATCCTATCTGCCAGCCGCACGGCCTCGGAGGGTCCCCCAGGGGCCACCGTTCCCACCCACAGGCCGCATCTGGATGACCTCAGACAGGTCAGAGCCACACGACGCGCCTGCGTGAGGGATGGTCCCCTTCCTGCTCTAGAAGGAATGGTGACGATAGCCATGAGCGAGGTGGGGACCCCTCTCCCTCCTCCCTGAATTCACCCCGAAGGTTCCTTGTAGTCCCCCATGAATCCGCCATGAAAACAGGCCTGGTGGCGGAGCTCGGCCCCTTCCGATGTGCGGACACGTGGGGACACTCGCTGTGACGTCCTGTGGCTGGGCGGTTGGGACTCTGGTGGGCAGGGAGCGTGGGGCACCCGTGGGGTCAGGGGGCTGGGGCTGGGGCTGGGGCTGGAGCCAGGGAGGGGGCATTCTGCTGCTGTCGGGAGCTGGCTCGGGCCCACCTGGCTGCGAGGGCCAGGCCAGAGCCGGGGGAGACCTGGGCCTGGCTGGGCGGCGGCGCCATCAGAGCTGTGCTTTCTCGCTCCGTTTGACCTCTGCCTCAGGTAAGTGCTCTCTGGGCCTGCGTTTGCCATTTATCACTGAACAAACGTTATGAAGCCCCTGCTGTGTGCAGGCCCTGCCCCAGGCCCCGAGGAGAGAGCAGAGATCTGACAGACGGTCCCTGGTGGCAGGGGCCACACCTACCACAGGGGGCCCCGAACTTCTCGCAGCAGTTCTCAACCTGTGGGTCGTGAACAATGAAAATACATCCTGCATATCAGATATTTACATGACGATTCATAACAGTAGCAAAATTACAGTTATGAAGTAGCAACGAAAATAATTTTATGGTTGGGGGTCATCACAACATGAGGAACTGTATTAAAGGGTCGCGGCATTAGGAGGGTTGAGAACCACTGGCTAAGGCATCCGGGCAGGCTTCCCGGAGGAGGTGTCCAGGTGAAGGATGAGGAGTTCGTTAAACAAAGAGATGAGGAAGAACAGTGTTTCTGGCTAAGGAGACACGAACGTGAAGGCCCTGGGCAAGCCAGACGCTGCCTCTTCGGGGCCAGTTGCAGGGCTGGGTCTCCTGGTGTAAGGCAGGAGGTGCCTCAGTGGGGCTTGTGTGGGCGGATCTAAAAGTCTGGGTGTCACCCTGGCCTTGGGGCGCCACGGAGGGGGTTGTTTGGGGAGGAGGCTGTGTGTGCGGAGGCCGGGGCAGATGTCCAGGCAGGAGGGGCAGCAGCCCGAACCAGGTGGGGGCAGAATGGGCAGGTGTGGGTGGCATCCTGGACACACGGGGGACACGTGCTGATGCCTAGATGATGGGCTGACGGAGCAGGCGGAGGCCAGAGGGCCAGGGTCTGGCTTCGGCACATGGGAGGAAGTCACCTTGGAGGTGAGACCTGCCCGGTAGAAGTCTCTGGAAGATGCTGGCCTGCCCTCCCACCCAGACAGGACCTGGGGCCATCCTGGTCTGAGCAGGGTCCTCCCTCACAAGGAGCTCACCGCCCCCCCCCCCCAGGGGTTTGCACAGCGAAGGGCTGGCACACGGGCCCAAGGAGCGTGTCTGAGCACTGAACCGGGAGCACGAGTGGACAGGCCCACCCAGGCGCTGCCAGAGGAAGGAGAGACTCGGGGCTCAGAGGGCGGCACACCCCGTCTTTCTATGTGAGGCTCAAAGGGAGGGTGCCATGAAGCACGGCCAGGTTGGGGCTGCCTGCGGCAGGGATGGGTCCCACAGGGGGGCGGGGGCGGGGGCTCCGGCTGAGGCCTGGAAGGCAGGTCCCGAGAATGCCAGCTTCGGAAAGAGCCGGGGGCCGGGTTCCCACAGAGGCGCTGCCCCGCCGTGGGGCGCTAGGATGGCAATGTCATTTCCTCCCAAGCGCTCTAGAAAAAACAAACCCGCTTAATTGTTTACACATGTTGCTCGGGGCGCTGAGGGAGGGGGCCCGGGCCCTCCCTGCCAGAGAAAATATATGCCAACATCGCTGTCGCATTGCAGCCTCATTACGGGCCGTGTGGGAGCTCCCGGGCACCAGGCCCGGGATATCATTTTCCATGAGGAGAAGGCACCCAAGGCCGGTCCAGGGCTGGGAGGACCCGGAAGCCTCCCTCTGCCACCCTTTGTCTGGGAGTGTGGGAGAGGGCGCTGTGTGTATCTGCTTCTACCTTTTGCTCGAAATAAAGGAACTTGAGTTGAGAGAAATGGAAAGAAAGGCAGCCTGGCTCTTGGGAAACCCACAGCCTGAGAAATGAAGACCAGCGTTTCCCTGGGGCCGGGCGCTTCTCTGGACCGGGTCTCCTGCTCGGCAAATGGGGACAATCACCGAAGCCACCGCCCAGGGCCGCTGGCACGTCCCCCTCCATAAACGGGGCCCTTGGTGTTTATGGAGGGGGAGCACACTCAAGGGTGGAGTCTGAGGAAGTCAAGACACTCGCTGTCCTGGGGGAACCTCGCACTTTCCCTGCCCAGGGTCCCCGGCACCCGTGGCTCAGGGGCCCCACAGAATGTGGTAAAGGTGCAGGGACTGAGCGATGTCATTAAGGTCCCTAATCAGTTGACTTGGACTTAATCAAAAGGGCGGCTATGCTGGTGGACCTGACCTAACCAGGTGAGACCTTAGCAGAAGGGCCAGGTGTTTCCTGCAAGAAGAGACGCAGAGCAGAGGGGTGCTCTCCTGCCGGTCCTGAAGGGCAAACAGCCGTGCTGTGGGCGGGTAGCCGCTGCCCGCTGAGCCCTCAGTCTTACACCACAAGGACCCGAATCCTGCCCACAATCTGAATGGGCTTGGAAGGGTCGCTGAGCTCCAAGGAGACCTCAGCCTTGTGAGACCCCGAGCAGAGGACCTACAGAAACCGTAAGGTCATAAACGGCATTGCTTTAAGCCACTGTGTTTGTGGCCACTTGTGACACGGCACAGAAAACGAACACCGGTGGTCGTGGAGCTTGGGGGTCCCACCGTGGGCTTGGCCCCGTTCCGCCCATGAACCCCAGACCCTCTACAGAGGAGGTGAAGCCTCTGCTCCAATTATCTGCCAGACCAGAGTCACAGCCTCTGTCTTTACTCCTTCCGGGCCTTTCTGCACAAGCCGACAGATTACCTGCCCTAAAACCCAGCCTTGATCATGTCCCTCCTCTGTCTAAAGCCTCCTCTGGCTCCCAGGGCCCTCCCAGGAGAGTTCCATCACCGGCCCAGGTGTGCAAGGCTCCACCCTCTCTCCCTGCCCATCCTTAACCCCCCTGCCCCTACCCCGGATTCTTCACTGTCCCTCCCGCCGCGGTCCCTGCAGCAGCATCCTCCCGCTCACCCTCCTCCGCCAGCGAAGACGCATTCCAAGGAGGGTTACGCCACAGTGCCAACCTGGCCGGTCGGCAGACACAGCAGAGGTGGGGGAGATGTGGGCCGCTGAAAAGACCAATTCAATGTTACAACTTTACATTGGAACATGGGAGGGAAAACTATTACTTTCATAATCAGACTTTAAAAAGTGAAGCTACTCAAAGTCTTGGTTGGCACAGCGACCAAGAGGAGCAACCTTTGTGGCCCAGGTGGCCATGGGGCAGGGCCCCCAGGGAGGAGCATGGGCTGACGTGACCTCCCTCAGCCCCTCTGTAGGAGATACACAGACATGCCAATGCATACATGTCTATCGTATAAACAGTGTAACAGTATAAGTATCTACGCCTTATGCACACATATAAATATAGTATGCACATTGCATGATATGCACATATGTAAATACAGCATGCACAATGCATATAACATGCATATATATGTGTGTGTGTATATATATATGTATGTGTATATATATATATATATTTACTATGCATAGTGGAAGAATCTGGAAAGCTATAGGCTCTAATGTGAACAGTGATTTTTCTCAGGGACCTGCGACTGTGGGTGGTCTCAGCCCAGGAGAAGCTGCGCCCAGACATCAGGCCCCACCGGGGCAGCGCCCGCCTCCCAGGCCTGGGCTCAGCCCCAAAGTCCTTGTCTTCAGCTCAGGGCTGCAGCCCAGCGGCCCCCAGGCTGCTGCCCAGCATCCTCCCTCCACCTCGTACCACCTCTGACCCCGGTCGGGAGGGAGGAGGCCGCCCCAGAGGGTCGGCTCACGTCTGGGTGGAGCGTGTGATGCAGATGACGGGATGAAGCCAGAACTCACTGGTGCCCAAGGTCAGCAGACATGACCTCAGGGTCCCTCTCAGGTGTCTTGGAAGAGCAGCTGGCTCCTAGGGTGCCAGGGCCTTGGAGGGTGAACGAGTGTCCCTACCTGAGGCGTCTCACCTGCTGTGCTCACTGTGCTGCCGGGAGACAGGCTGTCTCCTGGGTCCCGTGTGGAGACGCAGGCACAGCTGCTTCCCAGAGGCCACTGCCCGCCCTGTCCCATCCTCAGGGCGGCGTCTGCCCCGGACGTGACAGGGAAAAATCACTCAGCTCCTGCCACCTGCCCCTCCCTGCCTCTCCCCGGCCCTCCAGTCCCCGGTGGGCACTCAGAGCAAACAGCAGGCACTCAATACATGATCCTGCCCTTCGTTTCCAAATGTGCAGCTGCGGGCCTGAGTGGAGGCTCATGTCACCACCAGGGGGCAGTGTTACCCGCTCCCAGCTCTGCTCCCAGCACTGCGAGGTAGGGGCTAACAGGATTTCCAGTGAGGCCTGGAGCCCCCTGAGCCCCCAGTGTGTCCCCAGGAGGCACCCCCCTGCTCCATCAGTCCCCCGGGCGAAGTTCAGAGGCTGCAGAGTAGTGGGAGGCGGACACGCCAGGGGCAGAGAGAGGCTTCCCAGGTGCTGGCGTCAAGGGCAGGGCTGGGAGGGGGTTAGGGGAAGTGAGGTTGTGGGGCGCAGTGGTTAGAACTGGCCACCCATGTCCCAGGACAAGAGCCTGGGAGAGACCCATAATTACCCTGGGGGGGGGCACATTTGCAATTTTCAAATCTTGCAGAGACGGAAGGACCCAGAAATTTCCTTTAAGAGGTTGGTCACTCAAAGCCCATCGTCCTTGACTGACAGCCCTTCGGAGCGGCCACAGCCTTACCCCTCCCACCGGCACCTGTTCCGAGGAGAGGAGGGTCCGGCAAAGGAATGTGGGAGCACAGGGCACGAAGGAGCGGAACCCCCCACACACACCTCCCCAAGCTCCCACTTTGAGAGAAATGGCAGCCACACCCCGGCTGGCCCTGGGCCTCTGGAGGGAACGGGCGTGGCTCCCAGGCCTGACCAAGGCTGGGCTCAGGGGGCAGCTCCCAAAAATGCAGGTGCACAGGTTCCCCTCTGGACGGGCCGAACCAGAACCTCTGGGGAGGGTCTGAGACGTCGACGTTACCATAGCTCTGCACCCAGAGGGCCTGAGGGTTAGGAGCCTGAGCTGTCTCCTCCTGGCCTGAGGGAGGGAGAGAGGCCTCGCTGTTTTCTGAGTTGGTATTTGAATGGAGGGATTGACTGTCTATCAATCTTTTTTTAAAAAATATATTTTTATTGATTGCAGAGAGGAAGGGAGAGGGAGAGAGATAGAAAACCAATGATGAGAGAGAATCATTGATCGGCTGCCTCCTGCACGCCCCCCACTGGGGATCGAACCAGCAACCCGGGCATGTGCCCTGACCGGGAATCGAACCGTGACCTCCTGGTTCAGAGACTGATGCTCAATCACTGAGCCACGCCGGCTGAGCAACTATCAATCTTGACAGCCGTCTCCAAACAGTGTCAATTGGCCACTTCACCCAGGAATCCAAGGGACACACACACGGGCCACTGGGCCAGGAGCCCACGCCCAGCAGGCTGCCGGAAGCCAGGCCCGGGGCCCATCCCCATCTCGAAGGGACGCCCGGTTCCCCAAGTCCGGGCCCCGGTGGCTGGCGGCCAGCGGCTGGCGCGGAGGTGTCCGCTGCCGGTCACAGGTGGCGGGCTGCCTCCCAGACGATCTGCAGGGCCATGGAGGCGCAGGGCAGCTGGGCCAGCGTGTAGGCCAGGGAGCGGATGGGCGCGCGCAGCTTCCCCAGGTAGGCGACGGTGTGCACCACGCGGCCCAGGAAGACGAGCAGGAAGTGCACCCGGGCCACCAAGGGGTTGGGCTGCAGGAAGGAGTAGACCAGCCCCAGGAACAGGAACGGGTAGATGGTCTACATGTCGTTCCGGTGGGCTCTGGGGAGGCAAGGGGGTGCGGTGAGCCGGGCGGCAGCTTTGGGAAGGTCGCCGACACTGGGCGCTCTGCCTGCGAGGCCCGGGCCCCGGAGGGTCATCTCCAGGGCGCCAGGCTCAAGTCCATTGGTGGCCAGAGCAAGAGCTGCCCCAGACGTGAGCGGCGACTCCCAAGCTGGCGCCTGCGGGCGGCTGAGGAAGCAGCCCCGTGAACAGGCTGAGCCATGGCCGTGGGGAGGGGTTCTTTCCCGGCCTGGGGCTCCCCAGGACCCCGTCCCTGCCAGTCTCCCCCATCTTGCCCGCTGGCCTCGGACCCCAGGCGGGAAAACTGGGGCTCCGAGGGGTGGGAGAGAGCTGGGTCTGACTCAGGCCCGTGCCCTGCACCACCAAGGCCAGGCTTCTCTGCGGCCGACCTCTGTCCACTTGCGGGGCCCTCGGCCCTCCTGGCGGGATGGGCGAGAGCCAGGGGCGGGCTTCTGAGAGCCAGGCCTGCTCCTCCGCCCTAAACCTAAGCAAGTCCCCTCCACGCAGGGATGACAGCAACACAGCCTCCTGGCTGGAGCCAGCCCACTGCCGACCCTGGTGGCTCCGTGTCATCGTGCCGCCCACCTCTTTGTTTAAATAACCGGGTGGGTGAGTGGGTGGGGGCCGGCCTGTGTATAACCTGCTGTAAATAATTTTCCAGGCCTCCTGCTAGTGGAGGTGGGGAGCTCGAGGCCTATGCATTGGGGACTGAAGCCCAGAGTGCATGCTGGGAGCTCACATAACAGGAACCCGGGCCCACCTTCTTCCCACAGGACGGGCCCTGACCTCTCCCACCCCCCCAACCCCCCTCCAGGAGCAGGACAGACCTGATCCCCCACAGGGCAGGACGGGCTGCATGTGGGCGCAGGGACTCAGGAGCAGAAGCCCCTCCCCAGGCGGAGCCCATGTGCCCAGCCCAACCCCCAGGCAGCAGCGCCCTGTCCTCCCTCCCATCCTCCCATCCTCCCATCCTCCCATCCTCCCATCCTCCCATCCCTAGGAGCCTTAGTGGAGGGCTGGCCTGACAGAAAGGAACGGGGCTGTCAGGGCAGGGAGGGGACCTGCGCTCTGGGCCACCCAGCGCTGTAGGGGCCTCTGGGGTGGGGGGGTGGGTGTGGTCAGAGAGGTGGGGTTTGCACCAACGCCTGAAGGATGAGGCCGTCAGGGGAGCACTCTCCAGGGGCGGGTCTGGCCGAGCAGAGGCTCCCAGGTGGGAGTGAGCAGCACACTCAAGGCACAGACCGGTGAGCCGCGTGCCTGGAGTGTGGTGCCTGGGAGAAAGCGAGCAGGAGAGTGGGGAGGGGCCTGGGACTCCACCGTGTAAGCCCAGCGGGGCCTGGGTCTTTCTGCAGTCAGGCCGCCTTCTCTTCCCTGGAACCTGGAGCTGGGACCAGCCACAGGGAAGCAGCCTCCAGCTGGCAGTCTCCCCCAGCGGGGCGGGGACGCAGCCTCCTGTGCCAGAGAGGAGGCCTGGCGGGATCCTGGCCGCAGGGAGGAGGGGGAGAGGGAAGCAGGACCGGGCGCTCCATCCCTGACCCTACTTGTGAGTTACAGCAGGGGGCTGAGCGCGCCTCTAAAATCACTCCCCGTCTGGAGACAGAGCTGTGATGGCGACACCCCCCCGACGCTGGTAGAGGGACACCTTGGGAAAACCCATGTTAGATGACGTCAGTGAGTCTGTCCCAGCATGTGGTCTGTCTGCCCACGCGATGATGCCACCTGCATGAGTACTGCTGACACGTGTGCTACGTGCGCTGAGTCAGCTCTGGCTCCTGCAACCCTACTGAGTGCCGCCCAGTGCCCTGACCCCCAGCCCCGCTCGGCACCTGCAGACCCGCAGGGGCCTCTGTTCTGGAGTCAGTCCCTCTCACGCTTGGTCTGCTCTTCTCCCGGCCGCCGCCGCCTCTTTCCCCAGCAGCATCGTCCTCTCTCGGACGAGCCCACAGGCCAGGGTCAGGGCCGCTCCGCTGCCGGCCGGCCGTGCGCCAGGCCTCGCTGGCTCTGGGACACATCCTCTAAGGAAGGGCATCCGCACGAGTGGGTCTCTTTGCTGGGGACGCTGTTCTGAACCCCTTGATAAATATATACTTTTGTCTAGTCGTGTATTTTCATCTAAAAGCTACAGGAGAACCATCACTAGCACCTGAAACCCATTCATTCACTTTCCCTTAAAGTCTCTATTTATAGTTTACGAGTGAGTCTTTGTAGAAAGCAGTTAAGAGAAGAGTTGGCCAAACCCACAGAGCAGGTGAGGGGACGATAAGGGAGGGAGCCGGTCACGGAGGCGGCGTGGGCCCTGCTCTGCCCCGTGGGCAGGGGGAGGGAGAGGGAGAGGGGGCCGGAAGCCATGCCGTGGGTGCTCACCCCCACTCCTGGCGCCAGCAATGGGCCTGGAAGACTGAGGCCACCGATGAGGAAGGAGGGGGGGCTGGGAGCTGAGAAAAGCCTGAGGCTCGGCCCCCGGCCCCTTGGCACTCGGGTGGCCCGCTCCTCCCTCCTCCCTCTGGTTTGTCTCAAACCACAGTGGTGCCAAAGACAGGAGACACGGGGAAATTAGGGATGATGCAAGAAAACCCATTCCCTTCCTCCCAGCCCGGGATCTGAACCGAGACACGGACGGAGTCACGTACCAGAGACGCTTGGGCAAAACCTGTCATCCCAAGAATCACCGCTATTTTAAGGTAGAAGCTATCCATCTATCTCGTTTCTGCGAGACTGAACTTGCAGGGAATGTCCTGCGGCAACACCAGGCCTGCCCGCCCGCCAGGAGCAGCCTGCAGCACCAGCTGCACCTGACAGCATCAGGTGACAGTGATGGGCGGGAGAGGGAGACCTGGGTACCCCCAAGGGCAACGCTGGCGGCCACGGCAGGTCCCCCCTCCCCTTGCCCTGCTGCCCTCCATACACGCTGGCGATTTCCCTGAATTCGGGTTTGAGGCAACAGAAAGGCTGGTTAGGGGTAAAGGCGGGTATAGGGCCGAGTCCAGTGTCCCCGTGCGGAGGGAAGGCCTAGAGGAGCAGAGCCGTGCCAGCTGGGCACCATGTGGGCACCATGAGCTCCGTGGCCTCACAAACCCCTTCTTCCTCTCTAGGTGGCGGCTCCCTCCTGGAAGGTGCCCGCAGGGCCGAGCGGCTGGAGCCTGTGAAGCGCTTGTCACTGAGTCAGCTGCCTCCTCTGCCACCATCGTCACCTCCACCAGTGCTGTCTGGGACACTCGGACACGCGGACACACGTGTTAAAGCTAATTTCTCCCTCTTTGGGTTTCGCCGGACTTCTGACCGCCCTCAGCCACCTTGGCCAAATGAATAAATGTTTGCGGGTGCCGTGGAAGGGGTGGGGCCTAGGCTAGGAGCTCCCGCCCTCCCTGGGCCTCAGCTCACCACCCTCGAAAGCAATGCGGCGGGTGAGATTTGGGGGCCCAACCTCCTGGCAAAGCAGTTCACTGATTAGGTCTGCACAAGCCAAAGTCAGAACAGCTCAAAGCTGGTCAAGCGTCTGTCTTCCTTCTCGGGCCATTCAGACACCGCCCCGCCCCCCCCCCCCCACTGCAGCCTCCCACACACTCTGAATTTCCCAAAATGCGCTGTTGCTGGAGACGGGGTGGACTGACTGGAAAGGGGGGCTGCACGTGAAGGCTGGCTCCCCGCGGCCCAGGGCTGGCTCATGCTGGGCCCCAGCAAACGCTCATCTGCGAGGCACCTGTGTCCTCCGAGAAGCGGACCCCAGGGCCTTCCTGTTGTGCAGGAGGGTGACGGGACTGCGCCCGCCCGCAAAGGCCGGTCTAATATTTAACCAGCTTTTACCTCCGGGGCATCTTACTTCCTAGAACCTGGTTCCAGCCGGTTCCCCAGTGGGGGACCACAGGATGCGTGATTCTGAGCTCTGCGCCCTCAGGGTTCTGTGATGTTATTTACGTAGAGGGAAGAGGAGGAGGAAGTGGAGGAGGAGGAGGGGCCCAGGGGAACAGGACCCCAGCGCGGGCACAGCAGGTCCCCAATAAATACTCGCCAAATGGATATAGACCATCGCGACCTAAGAGGTGCTCAAAACGTGCTGGACGGACTCTCACCCACATGGTGGGTCATCTTGACCAGGAGAAGAAACGGAACTGGGCAGGTGCAACGGTCTCTCGCCGGCATGGTCATGGCCAGTGCACATCACCAACCGCTTGGGAGCCGATATAAACTCCTGCGCCACAAGTAGGCGTGGCTACTGAGAACGCCGAGCCCTGGGAGAAGCAAACATCTCCTGGTGGCCGCTGTGAGCTGGCTCGGGCGACCCCGCCGTGGCAGCTGCTGCCCCGACTGCTCATGTCCTCCCCTGCCCAGGGGGTCAAACCAACCCAGGGTGAGGGTGGGATAAGGGTCCCAGAATGGGTTCGAGGATGGGTAAGGCTTCTGTTCACTGAAGCACAACTAGGTCTCAGCCAAGTGTCCTGCACATAGTAGGCTCATTAAGGGTGGACTGGATGACGGACAGATCTGAAGGACCACGTACTGTAGTTGCATTAGAAAAGGCAAAATAGCAGAGAATTCCACTTCTTACATTACACATTACTGTCATTTTTAAGCCACAAGTATGTATACTATTTTCAAGGGCCAAGAAAACCATAAGAAAATAAAAAACAGATCTTCTGTTAAGAAAATACTCTGTTACCCTACAGTGTCCCACCCATTTCTGCCTGTGATGCAGAAACCCTATGCGAGGGTTTGTCCCCATCCTGCCCACTTCTCCAAGGAACTCCTGGCACCCCCCGTCCCCAGGAGGGCCACCCCTCACTCTCCAGTTCCCCGTGTCAAACAGCAGAGAGGAAACTGCCCAGAAGTCCAACGTTGAGACTGGTGACATGAAATTAACCCTTCACCCTTAGTCTCTGATGGAATTTTTACACAGTCATTTTTTTTAAAGAATCATTTCTGAGTAATATCTACTGACATGGGAAATGCTCATGAAATAATGTTCACTGGAAAGAAGCAGAACCCCCCCAATTAGGTGTACGATACCTAATTTTATGAAAAACATTTAGACCTAGAAGACAAAGAAGAGATAGAAGAAAATGTTAACAGTGATTAGAATCATGGGTGGTTTTCGCCCCCACCCCCCCACCCCCCGCATTGTCAACATTACCCACACTGTCGACAATGAGTAGCTCTGATTTTTATAAGAAAAACTGTTTTTGAGCTGGGGTACTAAGCATAAGAAAAGATGTCAACTTCACTCGGAA